GAAACTATCGGTTTGCTGAATGGTGTGCAGACAAACTAAAATGTATCCATTCACTAAGCGGAACTATATGGTACCCTTGCTGCCGGTTCATCTCAAACCATGGAACCACTATTGGCTCAGAGGATCCGAAAACGTCACTGTGAAACATGCCACCGTCTATGAAAATGAGGTAGATTTCCGCTTTTCATCTGGATTTTCGGAAAAAGGCTACATTCAGATCGTGCAGGTCAAACCAGACAGGTGATTTGATTTCTTGTTGATATAATTTACTCAAATGTACTCGTGCTTAGTTGATATCCCATTGGACCGGACTAAACGGAGTCGAATTTGGGAGCTAGGCACCTTGGAGCTATTTAACTGGAGTTTGAGTGCAGTTAATTTATCCGCTGATATGAGTAAGCTGCGTTAAACGAGTAAATTTAAACTGCGACTGGTTTGGTTTTTCTCGCTACTACCAGTTTCAATGGTGAAATTTTCAGTCATTAGGTCTCTATACGTTTTGAGCGTCATATCAAGTTCCACGAACGCCACAAGACTAATCTTGCCGGAACACCGAATTTTTAGCGAGCTAAGATGGTACATATGCTCAGCAAACTTACCTGCATCACGTGATCCTGTGTATTTGCAGCACTAGAACTAGTTCGTCAGTTCAATGATGTGGTGCACGGATAGCTGATTCTGATTGATTCGGAAAAGAGGTTCCATGGAATTTCGCCGAATCGAATCCTGTTCTCGGATCACTGTCTCTCTGGACCTATCCAAGAAAGTCTAGTCAAGTGGAATTGAAGACACACACCTCATTAAGGGAATTTGTGAATGTGGAATAGGCTACTGTTTGTAGGTGTTGAAGCAGGGCTAGCATATTCAGTGAAAGTTAACCGATGACTCATATCAGGGGATCTTTGAGATCTGTTTGAGGTGAAGGATATCATCTGTTCTCCTTATGTCAAATGCTTAGTTTCGTTGCTGCGGGTGCCCACCTCCTCACAGAAGTTTTCCATTAGCTGGATAATAAACCACAGCACTATGGATCAGCCGATTAACCCACAGACTAATCTGCACCAGCTGACTGGAAAACACCACTGGCCTACTTCCGACACCACGCTGTTTCCTTCTACCCCACACTACTTCTGTGGCACTTTACCAGATCCGCTCTTTTGGGCATTACTACTTGCCCTGAACTCCACCCGACAGCTGATTGGTTGATGTTTGGTTCAAACTGTAATGGCGGGCAGTGAAGTTAAAAAAAAGCATGACACAAACAGATACAAATGCCAAAAATCCGAAGTAATTTCCACGACTGTTTTTTTTTGAGGCAAGTTTTCTTCGCAGAACTGACGAAATGATCTAACTGTTACACCCGTCATTCCGTTGTTTCCAAACGGGCCAAACAGACGTATGTGGATGCAAATGCCAACTCCTAGATTATGTCCATATGGTCAAAATACCCGAGTCATACAGTTTCAGAATCAAAGGAATTACTGGATTAAGGCCATCAGATTTGTATGAGTGGACAAGCTGCAACAGTCAGTACAGCAAACCATACTATACTTACTTCCCTCCAAAATAAAAAGGACCCTTGTTCAGAAGTTTGCGCTTGTCGCAGGACTATTGTCGGGAATCTTACCAAAGGCCGAGTAAAAAGTATTCTGTAATGTTTTGTTATGCATTACTCATAAAGTTGCTCAAAACTCCTCGACAGCCCACGACCGGTTTCGCCCGTTTTGAAGCTCAGCAGGTAGGCGCATTCCCCGAGTTACCGTCAACCTTACGTTCTACTTGAAACCAAATTGCACGAAATTAGCGATTATACACTCATTCGCAAACTAATTTGGTTTTTCGAGAGACTCACCTGGAACCAGGTTGAATCTCTCGATTTTGATGTTTCCAGGCAACCGTCGTGGGCTGTCGAGGTGAGTCATGGGCTGTCGAGGTGTTTTCGGCTACCCTAGGAGTATTGCATTACAAATGCATACGTGTATCGCGATATCTCGAATATCGTAGCGACTGAAACATGAGGTGACCTGGTGCAGCACATTCAGTTGCTTGAGAACATCACAAACGAGAGATTCAGCTGGGTTCCAGGTAAGTTTCTCGAAAAACCAAATTAGTTGGCAAATGAGTGTATATTCGCTATTCTACAATGTTATTTTAAAAAAATCCTGCGACAGGCGGCAATCCAGTCTTGCGTACACTGGTTTTTGTTGCAGCTGTCAGTTGCTGAATGATATTCCTCTAATCAATCTTCTTTTCAAAGTGATGCGATATTTTTAAACACTCAAATCTACTTGGCTGCCTGATTTTTACTTCTTGTGTGACCCCACACGGTAATTTAGATGAAAAATCTAGCAGTTCAAGCATTGATGAGTACACTGATTTGATGAACATGGTAGCCATCAACAACACACACATTTCTGTAGTCAGTATAAGGAAGCAGAGATTGCTTTGTTCACTGAAATTTATTGCTGCTCCATAATGTTAGACATCGAATCACCATACTAACATGATAAACTTCAGGTCAAATTTTACCTCATCTAGGGCAATGTCCGTCTCGATTACCCTGGCTTGACTCCTAACTTTTTAAACAGTTCATCAGGGTTGCCGAATAAAGGTTAGCATCAATAACAATTTTTTGGTTTTCACAATCCCTCCCTCCTAGGTGCACCGTTACTTGGACACATTTTAGTATTCCCTCACATTTGCATCGCTAAGAAAGCCTTATGACGGCTATCTGGTGTCGAGTGGATCCGTTTGCTTTATTCTTATAAGGAAATCCGTGAACAGGTTTCACTTTCCGGTGGACATCCGGAGGAACTCACACCTTACTTACTTATCGTGCCTTCCAAACGTCTACAAGAAATGCTGGGGAAAAGATGAAGGCACGAGATGATCCACGAACTTAGGAACAGAGTAGTACTCAAAAATCAAATAAAACCGAAATTTATCATCAACCGAATAGTGTCTAGACTAGTGTCACTAGTTTCCTGCTATTACTGTTGATGCCATAAGCAGAAAATACTAGGATCATATTTAGTGAAATACACTCATTTGCAAACTAAATTGGTTTTGCGAGAGACTCCCCTGGTACCCAGCCGAAACCCTAGTTTGTGATATTCCCAGGCAACTGAATGTGCTGCACGAAGCCACCTCATGTTTCAGTCGCTACGATATTCGAGATATAGCGATACATGCATGTTCGTAATGCGCTACTCATAAGCAGACTATAAGGTTAACAGAAACTCGGGGATTGCGTCCATTTGATGAGCCTCAAGAAGGACGGAACCGGTCGTGGACTGCCGATAAATTTTCAGCAACCTTATGAGTAGTGCATTACGAGTATAGAATCATATTTGTTTGGAGAAGCCATGATTATTGAACAGTTTTTTCCAATGAATAGGATTCCTTGGTTTGAAATGCTAATTAAATGATGGCGGTACTGTTTGGGATGAACAAACCACAAAATAGACTTGCAAGAAATGGTCTGGGGGAGAAGCTGTCCGCCAGTAGTAATCATCTTTGATGGTTTTTCCAACGTGCAAGAGAACATACCATAGATGACTTTACGAGTGTTGACGCAATCTTCTCCACGATAAAGAAAACAAAGTCGATATCACCGATAAGCGTCACCTTTAAGAACAAGTACTGCAGCTGATTTCAACATTTTGCCGTCAGTTCTTTGAACGTGCACTCCTGTTCCTGTAGGTCACCGTTTTCCGGGGACTGTCATCATGACAACTGCTGAAGAATATAATAATTCATTACGCGTAAAATATAGTTCGGACATGATAAATTAGATTAAGAAGCATCGATCAACCTATATTTAAGCCTTTGACTGAAATCTCAGAAACTTTGGCAGAGCTCTTTCTAATTAGCAAGGAATATTTACTTTGGAATGTTGAGAAAGCTAGACTATTAAGCCCACAAGTCAGTAACCTAATGAACCGAGTTTCGTTTCACTACCAGCGCCCGACTCAGAGCATAAAACATATTCATATAAGCACAAAACACCGAATTTCACTTTAGCAACCATGTTTGTCGGTTGAGACAGGTTTTCCATTGATGGAGTACTTGATATATGGGTATGCGATACGGGCGAAACCTTAAAAAGCAGCGGGTTTATGGTATTCATCACTCCAACGCACAATTTCCATCAAGAGCCTGTGCACAGTCACAATAATTGATATTCACGAAATAGAAACACAGCGCTCACTGATGCTGTCTCCCCTGTTGGTGATGAAACGTCTGAAAGCAGGCTTCCAAGCTCGGCGAACCGATCAACCACCACCTGATCTTCAACCACTTAACGTATCCGAGCTATCAATATTTTGATGTACTGCCGAGGGGAAGAACATGGAGCGACGCACATAGATAAATCATTACCACAAGCGCTCACTATGCTGTCTCCCCTGTTGGTGATGAAACGTCTGAAAGCAGGCTTCCAAGCTCGGCGAACCGATCAACCACCACCTGATCTTCAACCACTTAACGTATCCGAGCTATCAATATTTTGATGTACTGCCGAGGGGAAGAACATGGAGCGACGCACATAGATAAATCATTACCACAGCGTTAGGGTAATTACGTACGTTGCTTTTATCGGAAGGATTTAGCATGCTGGGTCCGTAGTCAACTCCGTTCGGAGTGAAGCGAGTTTCGTCAGAATAGTATCATCTAGAATCGTTTTCCGGACCGTTTTATGAATATGACACGCTTGTAGGACTGCATTGAAAACCAGAGAGTAGAATTCTAGAGTTGCATGTATTCTTGTGTTTGTAGTTTCTCTCAGAAGGTTTTTGTAACCTTCTAGAATGTTATGTATTGCAGGTGTTGTGTTGTAGTTTCCTGCAATTACTCAGCGAATCGTTCGTTCGACAAGAACGCTAACAAACAGGACTATGTGTTGGCTGTTGCGCGCCTTCTGATTGGCCGCCTTTCACGTCCACTCATGCCAACGGGAGGCACGCGCTATTTATGCGCGTCAACACTTGCATACACGTGCGTGCTGCCTTACGATTTGTCGCCTTTCGGTAAGCGTTGAATGACGTTTTTATGAATGTATGGTGGACGCAATCCTTAAGGAACCCCTGTCCTTCCGACTATTTTAAATTTGTCGGCTTATGCACTAGGGGTCGCACCAGTGTATTGGGAAGTGGTGCACTCAGTATCGGATAGCAATTCAACTAGATGTAACGACATCATCGAGGTCAAAAAGTGCTAATCAAATCACCTGTTTAATTCCAATCTAAAGCAAGGCCCCTAAATTAATTAAAGTTGATTGAGGTGGCTCCTTGTTTGAGCCCTTTTGATGCGGTGGACGGAAAATTCCACTGGCTCTAACTTTTGAGAGTCTCCGTGAAAAATCTCGTTAGAACCAAAGTTTCATATTCAGATTTGGGGTTTATTAGGATTAACCATACACCGTTTCAATCGCCGAAACAGTGCATTAACGTGCACAATCGTTATCTCTCTACACTGAGCAGACATTCGTTGCTAGAACTTCATTACCCCGATGAATGAAAGTGTCTTCGGATTTTGGGCGGACCGTCCATTTCTGGACCGTATAACATGAGAGTGGGGAAAGAAACGAAAAACCCTAATTAAAAGATGCGAAAGCCATCTTATATTGCTCATGGGCTCATTCTAAAGCGGTACATGCTAGTTTTGCCAACTGTTTGGCGGAGTTAGAACACTGTACACAGGAGAGGTTAGCCGAACCTTACTTCATAGGTCAATAGACATGGCTACCACTAGGGTGACGCTCGAGAAAGTGAAATTCTCACTCTCCAGATTGATACGGTGGGACTACAGGCCTTGGAAGTATGCGGGAAATACAAGCTAGGGCTGTTGAGTACGGAAACCAGTGTACAAACCACCAAGAAATGGTGAACTGGCACTGGTCACAGACACAGGGATAGCATGAGATTCACCAAACCGAGGACGTAGAACGGATTTCGAAAATTTCGAAGAATGAGGTGAAGCTAGGATCCAGTTCATAGCGAGTAGTGATCTCCGCTAATCACGGGACATCCAAACGTGAACTGACTAGAGGGAGTGGAGTTAGTGAGAGGCTTAATATCACCCAAGGTGACAACTTGTTGTGTGCAGTCGTTAGTTGAGGGAAGTCATTAACAGAAGAGGTTGTGCTCTGAAGCAGTGAGTTCAGGTTGACTCTTATTCTTGAACTTTACCAGTCTAATGGTCGTAGCACCACCGCACCCGAAGGGACCTTGAAAACTCATAAACGCTGCGTGATAGTATACTCGAAACGAGTTGCACTTAACATCTCAAACCTGACCCCATTTCAGGTAAGTTTCTCACCCAGACACTTGGTCATCCTCAATAACTAACGTCGACCTAACCGACACCGAACACTGCTTGGAAGCTTGGAGGAGATCCTGCTGACTTGCTCCTCATTCGCCTTGAAACTTGTTCAGGCTCACAACCTTACCAATTGATCTGACGGAACTTTTGTATCAAAGGTGACACATTATCCCAAAATGGGTGTACTGGTTGTCTTTCAAGGTCAGAAAATTTGTATATCCTTAATTCTCCTGATCAGGCGACGATGACTGCTACTTTTACATACAACATCCTGACCAGTTTTCTGGCAACACAGGTCCCAATTTGTGGTTACTGCATTTTTCTTGTTTTATAAATTTTACAACAGAATGAGTATAACCGGCCAACGCATGTTACCCTCGCACTGGTGGCAACGACGCTCACTACTCCTGTGTGACGAAGAACAACACGAACCCCTCCCTTCCAAAGTGGTGATTTGGCTCTCTGTAAAGAAGGTCTTTGGGAGTAGAGCTCGTGTTCCAACATGTGTGCCTCCATCCGAATTAGCATGTTGTATGGCGTAATCATGGAACGACTGTTTGCTTACTATGGGTTGTGCCAGTTGACCACCATTAGGAGAATTTCATGCTGGACACTGTAGAGTACATATGAGGTTCCAACACCTAATAGATACATCATTTAACAGCTGAACTCCTCTAAAAATCACTAAAAAAGTACCCTGGTAACGTTCGCAGAATGCAGCATTCGACTGATTTCATTCGTTCATTTCGCACAGTATTCTTAGTCTTATCTCAACTTGCTTCTTGCCTCTAACATTCCAAGCCATACTGAAGTCACATCTAATCGGTATTTTTTCGTCGTTTTCAAGCATCCGTGACGTGACCTTCCCAAGATGGCCTGTGCAGACAGCTCAGTGAGTATTAGAATTTCGTCCACTTTTTTCACAGTGGTTGGTATAACGCATTTGTTCTGCTTGTGAGGGACCGCCCTTCGAGCGGTTCTTCTGAGAAGAGTAAACCGTTGGAAAAAAGATAAGAAATCGATGAAACTTAGATATACTTATTCGCGACATAACCTGCTTTGGTTACTCAGCTGAGTAACGTTGATAGAATTACTAATTACTGCTAAACAGAGATGAGAAAAGCGAGGGCATTCAGTGCGGCCAGTGGTAATCCTAACAAAGGAGTGCTATCTTAGTCACAAGCTATTATTGTATGTATAATGGTAAATGGCTGCGAATTCAGTAGTACTGGATAACTTTAAATTTTTGAAGGTCAAAACGGTTGTAAGGGTTTATGCTTTGCTCATCTATAGATCGGTACCCGTTAGATGTTTTGTGATCTCGGGTGATCTCGGGTATACAGCACGGATATAATTGAAAAGGTTTAGGCATGTGATCACGTGTCCATGCCAGTTTACCACAGATTTTGAATAGTACCGTCCTTACTTTCTATCTCTTTCTATTAATATGACGCACAATGGGAAGCCTAAGCAGCCTGATTTCTCCCGAATTGGCTTATCTAAAGGGGTAACTGTCTGGCTCGTTAACCCTGTTGTATGATGTGTATAGGGCTTTTTAGTCACTCAGTTTAGTGAAGCCTGATTTCTCACGAATTGGCTTATCTAAAGGGATAACTGTCTGGCTCGTTAACCCTGTTCAATGATATGTATAGGGCTTTTTAGTCACTCAGTTTAGTGAACACATTCTTTTGTTTCAATCAGTCGGATAGAAATCATAGCACTCGTTTTGTCTGCCCGCAATTCGTGAACGTGTGTAGCTTCGGACGTTCCGATAAGTAGGCACGTGGCTTTTCAGCGAGCAGTTTGGCTGTCGTGACAGCGCAACTGGCATACTTGCACCTGATTGGTCAGAATTACAAGGTTGAATTGAATCGATGCGTGGAACGTAGTGCCACCTACCAATGGATAGCGTGTGTGCGGCAAAAATGAAGCTTATAATGATGCGCAGTCGGCGCAACAACCGAAGCGAATACAATGTACCCGAGCGACCTAAGTGCTTGGAGTCTTGGTGGCCCGCCCTCTCAAGGTCCGGGTTATCCACCTAGTATGACACCCGGGTATCCACCCACTCCTGGTTACCCCTCAGGCATGCCTTACGACCAGCAGCAACCAGGCTATCCAGCTCAGCCAGGCTATCCAAGTCAATTCCAGCCCGGACATCCAGGTCAAACTCAGCCCAGTTACCCGGCCCAACTAGGATATCCAAGCCAACCTCAGCCCGGTTACCCAGCTCAACAAGGATATCCAGGCCAGCCTCAGCCTGGACACCCAGGTTATGCCCAGTCAGGCTATCCTGGTCAGCCACAACAGGGACACCAGCAGCAAGGCTATCAGCCTCAGCCAGGATATTCTCCAATGGGTGGCGCCATTCAAGGGACGTCTCCTGTGGGTGCAGCACCACGTGTGAGTTGACCGTTTTAGTTAGGATTGCAGCATTATTTCACTTATTTCACTTCATTTCATTCCAATCGCTAAGGTTCTGGTGGCCATTGCGTTTCTGACCACGTCCACACTATGTTCTGTTTAGTCCAATCCTACTCTGAGACCCTACCCATACTTCAAACCAGAAGAAGACTGTGAAAAACTTCGTAAAGCCATGAAAGGGCTGGGAACCGACGAAAAAGCCATCATTGATGTTCTGGCCCATCGGACAGCAGACCAACGCGTACAAATCGTGAATAAGTTCAAGACGATGTACGGCAAGGATCTAATTCGCGAACTCAAATCCGAGCTTACTGGTCATTTCGAGGACGTGATCGTTGCGATGTGCTACTCTTTGGATGAATTAGACGCTCGGGAATTACGTCGGGCTATGGAAGGAGCGGGAACTGACGAACAAACATTGATTGAAATCCTTTGTTCCCGCAGCAACGCTCAGATCCGCAGAATCAAGGAGATTTACAGCAACAGTAAGTCATGATGTCCTTTTTAACAGTTGGAAGTGTAAAATTTAGCTCCGTTCATGGTGTATGCTTTTACAGGGCTCCAGTAGGAGGCATTCTTCGGATTGCTATCAAACTATTTCTGCATAGTGCAGTGTTACATACTGATTAAAAACTGCTATACACTGTATACCAACGGTCATCGTAGGGTTGCGATGGTTCTCTCATTGATCACACTGAGCACGTCTGGTTTCCATGACTATGAGAAACGTTTCTTCCCCAACTCTGTTCAGAAGCCTCTTTGGTATATCTCTTTACCTTCAGTCTTCAAAGGTCGAAACTTGGAGAAAGACGTAATGAGTGAAACTCACGGGCATTTCAAACGTATTCTAGTCAGCTTGGTACAGGGCAATCGTGATGAGAGTACTCATGTCGACATGCAAGCTGTTCAAGCTGACGCCCAAGCCTTGTACAAAGCAGGAGAAAAGCAACTGGGAACTGATGAGTCATGGTACGTCCTTGGATCTAACTTTTTGGATGATATCCCTCAATTCATGCTGAATATCTGGCTTCAGCCACATTTATTCCAAACTAGCCAGGAGAGGAGATACTGTAATGAAGATCTGTATTTCGATTATGGTACAAACTGGATATCGGCACCCATAGAGAATTCGTAAATCGGTTTTGATGTTATTGTTCGCTAGGGAACTTCATATTCGTTCTGTCGTGTGGGAACGTATCGCCGAATCGGATTTGGATCTACACACAAAAGCGAGGATAAGTGACTCTGTTCTGTACTGTTTGTTTCATTTCCCAGCCAGTTTCACTCGGACCTCATCAGCCGTAAAGTATTAGGGACCAATACTCACACTTACTGATTGTCATTAATTAATGCTGCAACACTGCAATACCAGTTGATCGAACAAAGAATTCTTCAAGAGTTCTTCATTACTATCATCTGTGAGCCATGATTGTGAACTTTTGTCCTGGAACGACCAGGAAAAAGTAAACACTACTGGAACAATTAAGATCCAACGCGTCCGTATATCTAGACGGGAACTTTGTACAACTTGAGATGAAGTGGTTACTCAGCAGGGGCTTCCTCACTCAGGTAGTCAGTCGGTCGTGGTAGAAAGTAGTGGAAGATTTCTTTCAGGTCCCTTCATTGCTCGGTCAACCAGTATGAGGTCGTCCTCAACAGTGGTTAGTTTCCACAGCGGGATATGACGTACAGCAAAAGTGACAGGTATCGTGTGATCCTCGTTTTCATGTGGTTCTCAGGCTTTTTCTTGGCATCCTCCCGGAATCCGTGATACTAATTCCTCCGATAGGCTGTCCAACGGGCTAACTACCCTTGACAAATGTTCACACATCGACTTCTGTACGTACACAGCTTACGTGAGATTTAGCCATCGGCCAGTGCATAGTGTTGCAGCAACTTCTCACCAAGTGTGTTATGCTGTGTCCTTCGTTGGTATCCTATATCACTTGGCACCAAATTGAAAAAAATTTAGTCCTCACAATAGGCCGGGATGTTTTAATTTTAACATCCAAACTTCACTTTTGATGAGTGGGAATATAACGGGTTTTCCACGCTCCAAAATCTGTCTGATGTGATTACGGCAAAGGGTTCCAGGGGTCCTAATGATCTTTCTAATTTTACACATAAGCCTGGCAGCGACAGTTGTCGTTTTCATCGTTCCTTCAAAAGGTGTAATGTCTAGCGTTACAAGACTGCCTAAAGACCTCTGTGTAGTGGTGTTCCTTAATAAACAGACACCACTGTGTTGCAATCTAATTGGATGGTCACTCTGTGGACATCATATGCTTTGATCAGTCGCTCTAACCCAGGTTACTAAGCGATTTCTCATAAGGCTCCCTTGCTGTACTCTTTCTTTTGAGACCATGTAGTGAGGCATCTAACAGAGACATATATGGTACAACCTATTCATATGTGTTGTCGATCGTTGGAACGAACTGGCTTAGTTCATATCGGTACGTTGACCAGATCAGCTACTGTGTTACTTTGGTAGAGCTTGAATGCCACATTCAAATTCTTACTACAATTACAGCCGTCTTTCAAGGCTCGTATGATGACAGGTTACCTTTCATTTTGATTCGCCGAAACATGCGTAGCTATCGGATAGTGTCTATGACAGTCGAATAGCTGGGGCAATCAGTCCCCAGGGCCTCATCGAAGGCATATGGTTTCACTGCATCTTTTTTGTGTCAGGGTGTGATGTGACCTTAGGCGATAAAGCAGAGTTAGTCGGCAGAACTATAAGGTATACAGTAGCCTGAGGTGGGTCATTTGATTGGATAAGTAATAAATGTATCCAGGTATGTTTAAGGGCCAGAAGTGCGATCGCGCGAAGTGACATAACTGGGAAGCCCAGTATCCAACATCGCTTCCACTTCGATGACCTGGGTTAGAATATTTGCATAAGTGTCGTCGAAATAGGCTGCAGGCACCTGTCTGGAAAATTTCATAAATGTGCCGTTTCATCAGCAAAAATGATACTTTCAAAAGACCTTCGGCGCATTAGTCAGATAACGGAGACGACCAGCTACGTGTTTCCAAAGCCTGGTTGAATGCACTTTCAAGCAATGACGAACGGCTTGCGCGCCCTTTTTGGTGAATAGCATAAGACAAGCTGTTCATTTATTGATTGTTGTGCCGCGAGAAACTTGTTGCAGGCCGTTTTGGTATCCCGCCATCTATCCGGCTCGCTGAACAGCAAGCCTTTGACGTAAGCATATCATATTAGTCATGTTGTACAATTCGCTTCATAAAAAATCCGCTGTGCTAAAATTTTGCTTCAAGGGTCCTTTTTTGCGGGATATTTTCCTTAAAAACCAGAATTGGAGGAGGCTATTGTTGCATTTTGCTATTTACCTCCAAAGGGTGTCGCTACTTTGATACATATCTTTCCAACTTCTTTTACTTTCTCGGTATCCTTATGCCTTATTTGCAATCGTTGATCCACACTCGTATATTGCGCGATATTGTTTATCTTCTAGAGGGGATGAGATTTACGGAACAGCCTCATCTCGCGTTATTCAAGCCAGAACGGTTGCATCTTTCAACCTTAAGTTGGTTACTTTTGGTTTTGTATAGTTTGTACCCTTCAGTTTTCTTCTATCCATGGCTCTGTCTCTGTATGAAAAGCAGACAAGCCAGGACTGTCACAGACCTCAATTAACTCGACAAGTTTTGATAAACGAAACTACTCACAAGGTTGCTGAAAATTCTTCGACAGCCCTTGTGAGTAGTTTCGTTTATGATATCTCGAATATCGTGCCAACTGAATCATGAGGCGGCCTGTGTGCAGCACATTCAGATGTAGAATATCGTAGACGAGAGATTCACTTGAGTCTCTCGTGAAAACCATATTGATTTGCAAATGAGTATATTTCTCGATAAGTTTTACCCCAAATGGTCCTATGCCGTCCATTCGGATAAATGAACGCCGCCAGCTGAATATCTAGCCCACGAAGTCATGTGTTAATGAATTAAACTTGGGTTGCTAAAAGCCTGCTCAGACAAAACAGTTCGGCCTGACAAGCTATTCCTGTTGGTGTTGGATTGCTGTGTTTCAGAACTCTCTGTTCCACTGTGCTCGCCGTCCACTTCTGCCTAATGCAAATCCAGAATTCGTGATGGATTTTAGGTAACCGGAGTAGATGCTACGTCTGAAACCTGACGGCCCACTATAAGTGCTTCCCCTTCATTTAACCCAATGTTGATGAGGCTGTTGACAAGGTGCTTCTTGACCTCCTGGTAATATCGTCTGATTTGTAGACGAGTTACGGAGGTCGACTGACAACAATATGGCTTGACTCTATTACACAATTCTGAAAGCTGTGGGCGCCAGCAAAAACTGTCTTTTGTTTGACAATTACACTCACTTGCATATCAGTTTGGTTTTTCATGGGAGAATCAACTGAATCTCTTGTTTATGGTATTATTTTTGTTTGCTTTGTTTGCTTAAAAAAAGTATCCGATCCTGTCCCTCTCACCTCAACTACTTTATCGGCCAATAAAACTGCATTCGAACTGGCGAGCGAATGTTGAAATTTCTTGCTATTAAGCTTGGTACACATCAGGCAACTGTTCATATTCACATGAAACTTGATCAGAGGACTTTGATCAACTATGCGGGCGACACTGCCGTTTACAGAGTGAGTTGTACGCAATGTGCACTCATTTATCCGATTACCACACAACAGCCACATGTTCACGCATGCACAATCCCGCTTTTCACCTTGCCCCTTTCAAACGTGCTCGATCGGGGGGGGGGGAGTTGTCAGGATAGTTCTTTTATTGTCGATCAATCTGTTGTCAACGATTATTCGCTTCCTCAAGCTAAACCTACTTGGTATTATGATCTCTTGTGTCTTGATATGACACAGACACATTGAAAAATTCACCCTTAAGATTTGCAGAGTGTACCGTTTCCTATCCAGACAGAGCACTTCGGGTTATAAGGGACTTTGCACATCACGCCTGACGTCATTTTGGGTGATTTAATGGAAGAGGACTGGAAAGTCACAACTGAACACCCTCAGCTTTTATCAGCTTCTGGTAACACTCTATCATCGTGATGGATCCCTTGGATGGGAAATAGTGGTCTATGTACAGGCCTTCACAAGAATCCTGGTAGATGTCCTTTACCTGTTGCTCGAAGATATGGTCAAGATATGGTTCTTGAAGTTTCTCTTGCGCACCTCCGGTGTTCCTTAACACGCAAAAATGCTTGCGTATAAAATTATTTGCTCCCCTATTCTGCTCACCTACTAAACCGAAAGGTATTCTTTTAGAATCAAACTTGTGGGTCTAACATTTGCTTAGTTCGCCCCATACTGAGAAAATTTCCTGTTCTCTTGAGTTTTTGTTCATTCTTCTTCATCGCTTTTTCGGTCTTAATAATGCTGTCAATTTTTTCTTACTCACGATTCTATTTTAGAGTGAAACAGAAATCCGTTAGCCCTTAGGAATAGTGTCACACGTGACTGTTCCGGGACGGTTCATTCTGATTGACGCATACTTATTGTTGTTTCAGTTTCAATCGGATTTTGGTCTCGAAATCCGAGGCTCATGTTCGAGCTGTGATCAACGCTTATAGCTCTGTGAGTAAGAAGGACCTGGAAGATGCTCTCAAGTCGGAAATGAGTGGGGATCTCTTGCAAGCTTTTCTCGCTGTTAGTAAGTTTGCACTCGGTGTCTACTGAAGTGAACAAGGTTTATTCGAGTTTACTTGATTTACTGTTTGCATCTAAAAATCATGAAACCGACTCTAACCCTCCCTGGGACATATACAAAGAATCCTACATATACAACAATGATCTGGATTTGTGTACATCCACTTTACATTTGAAGAGCTTCAGTCGATAGGTGGTGGAAATATGACATATACTGTAAATTACGGACGTTTGATGGTAGTATGATTGGAGTTCAAAATTACAGCAGAAATTTCATCCTTTGTATGAAATTATTTCGTGTTGATAAGCTGAAAAGCAGTGCGCAGGCGTTCCGACCCTGTTTGGACTCACTAGTGATGTATTATCCTAAATATTTAGGGACATTCAAACCGGCAACCTGTCAGCTAGTAGTTGAAGACTACCTTGTTCAGCCACAAGTGGCTGGTCAGCATTGTAGCTCACACTTCGGTGGGATATAGCGTCACTCAATCAGTGGATCACGTCTTGACTGGCTCTTCGGGTCAGTTTTGGGGTTTTGCAGGATAGGTAATTTGTTCATAGTCACACCACTCTCGTTTGAACGGTCGTATTCCTGTTTTAGCGGGATTATTCTGGTGAGTCCACACCAGAGGAAAGCACTGGACTCGAATTTCGCTCCCATTAGGGCTATTCAGCAGTGCGTATCCAATGGCCTTGCCGGGATTTGAACCCCGAACATCTGACATGCGAGGCGTGCGTGTAGCCACTACTCCACCAACACACTTTGGACGCATCTGAATTTTCACATCTGAAGAGGCGAACGTGTTCATGCTTGAGCAGATGAATAGATGAATAGATTGATCTCATTTGAGGGATGAAATCTCTGCTGAAACATAGGCGATGGCTTCTGCACTTACCTGGGGTCTTAAACTCAGATGCAGTTCAATGCACGTAATATTCTACCGTTTGAAGTACGCGTTTGAACTGTTTTGTGTTCCTGACTTCGTAATAACTTGTCAACCGCCATCAAACCCATAATGCATCATCCGTTTGTTCACTACGGCCGTGCCCTGTTTTGATCTTTAAAGAAACATAACCTTTTGTGTTTCTTTTCACCAAATTGAACTCTGATTTAGCCGTTCTGGGTACTTCAAAATCACTCCGGTGTTAACCAAGCGCGGATCAATTTGGGTGGTGTGTGAGACCATATCTGTCTGTTTACCTACACACATGAAATGGAGCAGAAGGATACGCTGGCAGAGTAAATAATACTGAGTATTTACCAATGAACCACTGCGTCTCAAACAGTTCACATGTCTCCGTCAAATTTCTTCCCTTCTTACGGTGATAATATGAACGTGGAGTCATGCGAACAGGAACCATCGGTATCGGTTGTCAAGAAATCCCTAGTCTGGCCTGCAGTTAACGCGTTAACAAAGAACACTGAATTTGAAGAGAGAAACCAAATTAGTTCTGTAGGAATTCCAACGTAACGAAGCTAGTCAGTTGCTCAGCCCACCTGGTTGTTTGACCTGAGCGACTAACTGTGACATTTTGGAACACGTACGCTACAGTCATTACGCTACCTCTAGGAAAGTTGAGAGGAGTGGAAAGGGCAGAATATTGAACCGGGAAATTCCGCAACGTTTATATCTAAACTACAGTTTGATATGGAAAAAGGATAAATAAAATAGCTAAGTGTTCGGACTACTATGTAAGAGGTCGTGGGTTCGAAACTTCCATGCGGATGGTGCCCAGTAAGTATGAAACAACCGTACGGTGGTTTTCGGATTTTTCGCGCAAACTGATTTCAGGCAGAATGAAATCTTCATTGAAAATACCCAAATCTCCGACCACTACTAACAAATGATAAGTAATCTTTTTCACTTTTGGTTATGCCTGAATACGCCTTCAAACAAACTGGACGTACAACCGAGCCGTTAACTCATCTCTCCAAAACCGATAATCGCAGCCGGATCCGCTGACTTTTAGTTCTACGGCCTCACCAATATCTGTAACTTTTACAGGTTAAACTTTGCTCCAAAAGAGCCGTAAAAGCGAGCGACCGCCGAACCCGACCGATATGTCGACGCGGCTTTAAACCCTAGGGTTACCCTTCTGCCATGGATACCTAAAACAGACCTCATCCGATTTTCCGAAACTGCTAACTGAACAACTGTCAAAAAAGGATCGTAAAACCGTCAAACGCATTCATTTTAGTGATTTTTGGGGCCATTTTCATGTTATCCGAGTTCAGTATCACGTTTTCTTCTCCGTTACTCCATCAGCTAGGTCTAAAGTTCACGACCGACTTTGTTGGGTGAAGTTTAACTACGCTGAAGACTGGTGTGTAACTATTCTCCACTCTAGCCATAGGTACGTAGGCGGAGATCAGCTGTCATTTGGGTGTACACAGTGGATGCTGATGATAGCGTAGGCGGTCAGCTGGGTAGGTCTCTATGGTCGGTCATTTGCTAATGAAGCAGCGAGGGCAGGGTAATTCGCGCCAGTCCCAGATAGTTCTCGCATGGTGTTTGAGACTTTCGGACGTTAAGTGTGCAGGAGGCATAATTTGCTGCCAATGGAAAAAGTAACTGGAGGTGGACTTTCAGGACCGTTTTATGAGATGCCATAATTCATTTCGAGCAACGCACGTTGACATAACTTTTTATACACCCTTTCCCTGTAGTTTATTGGTTATTTTTGAGTGATGTTGCCGATATTGTTTGAAACAATATCCCCAATTTCTCACTCTTCTGAAGAGCTACCATGCACTTTTGTCTTCTCACTTATACACCCTTCCCTGTAGTTTACTGGTTATTTTTGAGTGATGTTGCCGATATTGTTTGAAACAATATCCCCAATTTCTCACTCTTCTGAAGAGCTACCATGCACTTTTGTCTTCTCACACTTCCTGCAGAGTGGCATGCTTGCAATCAACTTGACCACCCGAGTACTTTTGATAAAAGTCGAGTACTCTTTCAGTGGCTGCTGTAGTAAATATTTTCGCTCCTAAACTTGGAAGTTCTCATCCGTGAAATACGTAACCCCGTCTGATGGTTTTGGAGTTGGATCACCATTTTTACACAAATTCTTACAAAGTCACTTGAACCTTGAATAAAATCAAAGTTGACTGAGTGTCTTCGCACTCTTTCTCCGTTAGAGTCACGTTTCGTAACTTGTTGAAATATCGGTAGCTCGGGTGAGTTTATTGGTTGTTGATCAGGTGGCTGTTGATCTGTTCGCCGAGCTTGGCAATTGGCTTGCAAACGTTTCGTCACCATACGAGGAGACATCATCAGTGCATCATCGGTGCACTCAACCGCGCACTGATGATGTCTGCTCGTATGGTGACGAAACGTTTGCAAGCCAATTGCCAAGCTCGGCGAACAGATCAACAGCCACCTGATCAACAACCAATAGAGTCACGTTTCATATGTGACCACAACTTTTTACATGAAAATCGCCCCCCCCCCTATCCTTGTCTTATTGTGACACCACTATTTTCAATATCACTGGAATTTCACTCTGCCTGATCAGGTAACTCCAATTCATGGGGATTGACCTTCTTTTTGGTGGAACTTGTCTGCACCGCGGTAGCTCAGGCTGACCGACCGTCGATTTGTGAACTTGTGAACCCCGAAATTTACATCGCCTTGGTGTGTAGATGAATGTACATTATGCCGTGAAAAGCCCGTTTTTATTGCAGTAGACATAGTTCAACTTCCAGCAATACAAGAACGAAAAGACTCAATGAGTTTGTTCCATCTGCTGCCAAGTTTACCGCAATCACCGCTTGCATATTTCAGCATGGTTCCAGGAATGCAGGCTGAGATGCTACTGAAAACTGCAAGGAAGCTCAAATAGACAGCAGTTATTGTGGTTCACAGTGTACCAACTTGCTTTTACTATCAGACATTTTACTGCTAACTAGGTCACTGGTGACTGACAACTAAGAATCGAACAAAACCACACTTGTCAGCATCTGAAGTTCGGAGCGAGACGCCGGTTGCGCGTACCTCTGCTTAACCGAGGGTCCATGCAGTAGCACAGGCCTGTTATTCGACCATCGGATTGGTGCATGTGGTTGGTACTGTGCATTGGCATATCTTTAGGGCAAACCATTTTCCAAAATATGACGCAGTCTAATCAATTCTTCCTTTTTCATTTACAGCCCGCTGTATTCGAAACAAACATTCCAATCAATTCCCCCTTGTTCATTTACAGCCCGCTGTATTCGAAACAAACCAGGATATTTCGCAAGACAATTGAAGAAATCCATGGAAGGTGCCGGCACGCGTGATAGGCACTTGATTCGCATCGTGGTTACCCGTGCCGAAGTTGATATGGCAGATATCAAGCTGGAGTTCTCCCGCCAAAATGGCAAGTCCCTTGAGGCATGGATCGCGGTGAGTTCTAACAACTTACTCCTTCGGATTTTGGACTACCCATGACAACGAACCTATTCCTTATATTCGAAGCAATTTTCGGCATCTTCGGTCCGTTTACTTCTCAATAAAGACCAGTTCCATATAGAACTCAGAAAAAGGCGATCTGATACAGTGGTGCTCTGAAGCCACATTTGTGTTTATTTGTTACCTTCGACTTTGAGTGATGTGTTGACTGTTTGGAAATGCCATGTATAAGTATGGTCACAAGACCGTCTTTGTGACAGCGAAATATGCATGTGTGACCGATATCGGTTTAGTTCCTCAGATCAAGGTCAGAAACACGCAACACTTGTATTCCGACTGGCTCGACTCACGCATATTTGAATGATTCTCTATTCAATCACTCAAGACCAAGCCTATAGCTGATCACATCGTGATGAAACAGAAGGCGGAATTCACTGAAGTGTCACACCAATTCACTGACTGCCACTGTCTCCTCCATTGAAGACACTTTCAGAACCGATCACTTTAATTATTCAATGCAAGCACTTCGTGTCTGAATAACCATTTTTACACTACTTATGTATTGGTTGATTCAACTGTGTGAACTATTTCTCGACTTTGAACAGGATGAAAAAATGTGTATGTATTAACAAATCCAGGAACCTATTGACGACCAGGTGATACGAGACCAGAGTTAGGCCAACTGAAAACAGGGAACCGGTGCACCACGCTTGAATAAACAAGTAGCGAGAGAACTGCGCTCAAAAGCGACACTTTCGAAATTACTGAAATAAACATAGCTGGGTTCCACGTAGGGGTAGAATGCCATCAGGAGTGACTCGACATCCATTTTGAACCTTACCAAACGCAAGCGCAGCGCCAAACGACACTCCGACTTTGGCTAGTCATTTTAGCTAGCTAGTGACAGCGAGTTTGCTTCTGGGGTCGTTTATGTGCAATGTCCTGTAGTATTTCCAGCAAGAAAAATCACTTGAATTTTAACCAGAAGAATATGCATTCGCGCAGCGCTTCGTATCCCGTTTTCACCTCGTGTTGCCTTTCATAACGAATATTTAGCCTGCTAGAGTTTAGAGTAAAGAACGGCGCTTTTTACGGTAGATAGTCGTTTGGTGTGCATCATTTACCCCCCGTCTGCCTTAACCTGATGGGTGCTGTTTGATGCTTCAGATACGCTGACCTCTGCAACATTTAATTGCGGATGTGTTTGAACTACCAGCCACACCACAGTTATCAGATGCTTGGAGGCGGGATATAAGTTATCTCTCAAATCGAGATGAGAGGAACTTGGGCTGGCAAGTACCATTGATGTATGCCTAAAGCTACTTCAACCCAAAATGATAGCTCATCCACATTGGGTATCCACTTCTACGGTGATTTTCGGCTGATCGTGCAGATGTTTGTCAGTCGTCGATGTGTATCTGAACTTTGGGACGGACATGACGTGCAGATGGATGAAGTCGGATAAACCGGTAGTTCCAATGAACATACCGACCAGATGAGTGACCGCAAATGCAGTTATCAAGTACTTATTTGTTCCGGTGGATTGCTTTGAAGCGATGACCGAAACTTACCTTTAAAAGTAGGGTATTTTATGCGTTATGTTACACCGGGTCTGTATCAGGAGGCAAACTCAGTGGAGGCTATTTAATGTTTGTTTAAAAAAAATTACTTTTCAGAGTTTTGTGCGAATTCTACAGTGACGTTAGATTAGATGTTGATTTGACGAGTTCCCTAGGCTAAACCGAAATGCCCTGCGCTGACCTTTGAGAGTGGATAAGTTGTTATGACACCTTAGACGTAGACCAATGAAAACGATATTTTAAGACCCACGTAAACCTCTTACAACGAAATCAAGGAACACAGGACTAAAGTTGAAAAGAAATTTGTTGAAATTTAATGTATAAGACCAGCAAATGAATATCAGAGTCAATCAGTCTGAATCACTTTGACCAATCATCAGTTATACTGTGATTGGGTTTGAACAAAACGTGTAGCAACCATGTATTCTGAGATGATTCCGCTTGGTTTCGCATACGCGTTGAATTTTTCCTGGAGGTTGGAATGTGAACACTGGTGAATAGTTGAGCACCAAACTCAGCCAATCCACTGCATTCATGAATACCATGTGCAAAAGCGTTATCGGCGGTTTCCGAATCCGTCCACCCCAACCTACAAGTTCCAGTCAGCGATAGACAGCTATTTCAGAAGCAAAAACTACATCATAGTTCTCTTCATGCACTCTTTTTCGACCAAGCGCGTGAAATACGTGAGCGTTTCAGAGCATCTCATCGCTTTCTTGTCACCAGCATTCCAGTGGGGCTTTGTGGAGATTCGCTGCACACCAGTGTGTCTATCAAGAGTCCCCGACCAAAGATGCGTTACCATTCGCGTTTGTAGCATTTAGTGTTTGACTTGGGAGGGGAATAGTTTGTATTCCGGTTCACTAATGCTTATTGTGTCATTTGACCCGAAGTTCCCAGTGTACAGGTTAGTGAGCTGAACTTTTCGTGGGATAATTGCCACGGCAGCCAATACATTAGGTCCGAGAATCCCTGAATATGCACAGTATCGTATTATATGTCTGTATACTCTGACAGATGATCTCATTTTACTATTTTAACGCCGCTCCGGAGACATCCGTGAACTATATTCACGGATCAATTGTTTTAACATCAATGTAATTTGACCAGTTCATTCGAACTTCCTGTCCTTAGTAGGTGATGTACAAGATGATTTCATCTGTTATATTTCATTTCACTCATTTTCGGGAGAGAATCTTAAGAGCCGTGGTATAAATGTAACTAATCACTGATGTCCATCCGCTTTAATCTTGTGAAAATCAATGTTTGAGCAGTCAGTCTGTTTATCTTGTTTTTGGCGCCAAATCAGAGCGAGATGAACATTTATGGAACACGTTCAATGCCAACTAATCAAGATGCAGATGCTGAACGTGTTCCTTCATCAGTTGAATGTCGGCTAGCACACAGCGTGTTTAAGGGATTGAAATGCAGCCACTCGGTAATAGTTGACGTTAATTTCTTTGCGGATAATATGTGGACGAAGTTTTGATATCGACTTCTGGGGACCGATTTTTCTTGTTTTTGATAAGCAAGCATTTCTAGACATGCTACCCAAGACGTTCAGAACATACACTAAGACAAAAAACATGTGTCACACATACACTATCTTAGCTCTATTCTTGTAGTTTATTGACTAGATTTACTAAATACTTTATTCTACCGTGCCAGGAACAAACGTATCTCCGACACTTCCTGAAAAAGGGAAATTTCTGAAAGGCATGTTACTAGTTGAGCTGCTAAACAGAAAAATTTGCCGTTCCAAAAATTTTTTATGTCCGTAAGTTAAATTAGAACATCTCCCCATGTTCGCAAACGAAAACTGACATCAGTACTTAATCGAATTAACGCAGCTGCTCACTTGGGAATGACGGCATATACCTGGCCAGTTCCACTTCAGGCTCACAACTTGTGTTCTCCAGATTGTTGCATCTCTCACGTACTTGCGGTTACACGAAAAGTTTCAGTTTGTTGCACTCCACGCCAAACACATCCTGAAGTATTTCAGAACAGCTATAGCATAAAAGCAATCCATGCAACGTATACGGGACAGTGAGCAGACTTCATTGATAGATAAACACGTGGTGAGCACAATTCCCTCAACTGACCCTATCTAAAGGTAGCCCTACGCAATCAAAATCACGGAGGCTATTAACCACTGATCCGAATCGCTCAACCAACGGGTGTAGGAATTCCCGATACACAGTGTACTCACCATGAACTTTCATTAATCTCTTTGTACAATCCACTGCTCGTCATTTTAGCGTTGTATTCAGATGTAGGTCTTACGTGACGGCTGATAAAATTCACTGAAATGTCGACTGGTCGTATCTTCCTCTCCTATGGTGTAATGGATCAAATGGACTTAATTACTGCTTCACAGAAAAGTTACCTGCGTGGTCTTCAACTTCCAAGGTCACGTTTAGTTGCGTGAACTGGTTTAGCTCATCTCTTTTACTAGCTTTGGCGTAAAAAGCCGTGGACAGAAACACCACTTATCTTCGCAAATTTACCAGATGATCTTGGTTTGTGCATTTCAAGTGATGCTTCTGCTTCTTCCTTCTACCTTGAATGTGTGCAGGATGACACAAGTGGAGATTACAAACGCATGCTCCTTGCTCTGATCGCTTGAAAAGCCCAACCGATGGGGGAGAATAGAATATTCGCAATGACGATATCAGCGACAAATTCGACATCCCTCGTTATAACCTAAACATTCACTTATTCATTCGTTCACTGCTACGGAGTGTTTTTATTTTCATTTTGTGGGAGGCCGCTTTCTGAACTCTCATTTATGCCAGCACAGTTATTTTCTTTAAAAAAATGCCTTTTTGCTTTGTGTTTGATGGTCGGGTTCCTCATACGGTATAGAAGTGATAGCTACTTATCAAAAATGATATTCATGGTTTTATCCCATCCTCACTTAACATGTCAAGATGAACTGACGTTATCCCAAATTTTGCAATTATTCAGAGCAACATGATGAGTAGAGGCAGGGGGCATGGTTCCGCATCCAAACAGGGAGACATGTTTGAACAATTCGGTTGGGCTTTTAAGGTAATGATTTATGACCCTGCCAGTTGGACTCAGTTTACAAAGAGGCGAAGGTTAAGTCTAACATGTTACTCGTTCACAACTAAACATCCTTTAATCTGTCGTGGCTTTTCTCTGATAGCCGAGTAACACCTCACGCTTTTGCTTAATTCCTCACTTCGTTATTGCGCTATTTCATTAGGCCAATGGGTATTCTCTGTTTTGATCCATTTGACAACAAACATAGGTATCAGAGTTCTCGGAGTTTCGGGTACCCACTTTGCCTATCCTATTTGTGACGCAGCTTTGTCTTTTACAAAGTAGTCTTTCGGTGTCGCATTCAAGTGTGTGATACACTTGGAGCTGAAGTATGTATTATTTTGCGTTTGGTTTATGTCGCGGTTTGACTAGGTACGGCATTGATTTCCATGTGAACATTATCTGAACGATCAAATAATTCTTAGTACCTTGGTTGAATGAATGCAACTGCTTTGTACTGCAGTCGTACAGTCCCAAACCACATCTCAAATGCACTTCAAGTTAAAATGCTATTCAAGGCGTGGAAGTAATTTCAGTGCCTCTTGAACAGCCCACTATCGTTTTCGCTCTTCGTGAGGCATATCATCAACCTCCTCTCTTGCTAAACGGAGCAAACACCCAATTGAAAATCGAGATGCCGCTCGATAACGAAATTCGGAGGTTGCGTTTTCTCGATGATTCCCGAAAATAGCGAACAGGTACCGAGGAATTTCGAGTGGCCTCAGTGGTAGCGTCATCAAGGTTCCCAATGTCGGTAGATAGAATGAGGAGATGTTGGACTTTTCAATCGATACTTCGTCATGTGAGTGAATCTAACCTATGCTGAAAAGCTAACAAGCACGATGCAGCAGTTTCATCCTTACTGGAAATCACAAGAATCACGAATCTTCGGGGAAATCGCTTTTCACAACCTCCGTGATAATGGTTGAAGATGAAACCGCTCGAGCAAGAGTGGCTGATCCAAAGTGCGGTTTTCTTGGCTTCAGACAGGATATAGCGCCTCTCATCCTTCAGAGTGGCTGAAGTGCGGTTTTCTTGGCTTCAGACAGGATATAGCGCCTCTCATCCTTCGAACACGGAAATGGCGAATAAATTCGTAACATAACAAAGGTAGCTCAAGTTAAGAATAATTCACGCGATGATTGTACCAACTATCTGAAACCTCGTCGTTACTGAGCACGTGACCATGCTATAATCAGTAGGGTTGAGCACCAGGTCCTGACTAGCAATTTCCTAACTGGTGATTCAGGATAAGCACATATATAAGCATACATATAAATGACGTCCACACTCACTTGTGCTTGTCTTCAAAGCCCTCTCGTTGGATTCAGGCAACTGCAAGATAGTTATCCTGACAATCTGCGCATATGGTGTAAATGCACGAGAATCTAGATAGACAGTAGCTGGGGTTATCAGCTTATACGGGGAGCGGAAAACCGGTTGGCGTACACTTCGGCGACCATACTCATTCTGGACTCGCACTATGTCTTAGTCAGTTGCTTCGTGGCTAATGCTGGGGTATACTAATTCCGTTATCGCTTGGTCTTTCGAACCACCCTCAGGACTTACCGAGAACGTGGCTGAACTATACCACATTGGGATCGAGACCAGAAGGCATGTCCCAATCCTATCTCCACTGGCTTACTCAATTTCGGAGTGTGACCCGTCGACTAATTTTTCTTAAGAATTCTTAGCGCGTGCCACACTACTGCTGCTCCATGCATGGCTACCATATCTAGATGGAGTAACCGTGTGTTTCAACCAGTACGACTGCCCGTGAGTGCATGTGCCTTTTGCATTGGGCCCGGTGATCTTGACATCTCACGTGACTGTTTCGCCTATGCGAAATTGCTTGCCGGTGGCAGGTATCACGCAGGTTTCACAGGTTTCACAACCCCGTGACAGTGGGTGAAACCACATGCACGAATATATAGCCTAAAATTTAGCAAACTGAATGTGTGTCTGATTCTGGTGATTCATAAAGTGCTATATCACAAAAGCAAACTGACAACAATGCCTTTAGAAGCTTAGATTTTTTATCTAAAGTCTTACCACTGGCAACATCATGTGACTTTCGTTGGTGAACTACTCGAATGGTTTTATCTTCATGACTGCTGATTTAGAAATCCCCCTTCAGAATTTCACATGTCCGGCTAGGAGGAAATATCCGAACGGTTGTAGGGCTGGGTACAACTGGATATCAAGAATGGGACAACGAATTTCGATATAACAAATCCCATATCAAAGGAACAAGGATCGGAGTTTCGTCGTAGGTTCGATCTTTCGCACCCAAGAAAGTTTAGGGATCACGGTTCCGGGTTGAGAACCACTGAGTTGGACCACTGGTTTCACAGTCTTTTTGAGTGATGGCAGAAGGCGTAGCGACATATTCCATAAAATTTGAGCTACTCCTGGAATCTACCACAGTGCAAAGCCGCCTCTGGGTTGAGCATAGGGATTTCCAAGCCGGCGTTCCTGTCAGTTAAGTAGTTTGGCAAATGGGGTGTGTTAACAATCTTGTCCACACCTGGGCTATTTGGCGGCATCCTAAGTTGCATAGGGGCAAAGTTGGGAAGTATTAACTATAAAACACGCTAGCAGCCTTTTGATGATATTTTCCAGGGGGCATTACTTCCAGCGGGATAGATGAACCGTTCGCAGCTGCTACTGAGACATTTAATTTTTAACATCTGGCCCCTCCTACGTTCTCTCCCATTGAGTCTAATGACTGCTCTTCGGTACAGAAACTGAGCTCAAACATCCAACGCTCATTTAATGCAATTTCTAACGTGAATGCTGAGGTCAGTCTCGTGTCAATAAATTCTATATTTCGATAAAACTGGGACGGTCCATTGCTCTTAGCTATTCACACTCGAAATTCATCTAACTAATGGCAAATTCTTCTTAGTCCGCTTAGGCTTCAAAGACTGCTTGCTAATTTCAACTTCCCTATGTCAAATTAAGTTGGAATAGTGCGTGTAGTTTCAGCTCTACATTTTAGCGCTAGCTTGTAATCCGTACCAGAGGAACATGAAAGTGTTCTTATTGTCCCACGCACCACGTTTACGTCAGCTATACTTTAGAGGTAGTGTTTACATGCTTTTTTAGACTATCAGCTCAGTCGTACCCACATTAAAACTACATATACGTCATTCTAGCCTACACAGAAACAACAAACCAGACAAATGTTGAGAGATCAATGTTAGATGGATCTCATAATTTCGGTAATAATTTTCAATCTATCACCTTTGAATGAAGCGGAAATCATCTAACGAGTGAATTGTTTTGGTTTGAGTTCAGAGTCCAATTCATCTTCAAAGTACCAAGGTTATGTCTATATTTGTGTTCTGTTGATAATCTTTCTAAAAGGATCATTAAAATTGCGGTACACTACCCCCACGAAACTTTCCGCGAACTTTCAAACTGCATAAGGCTCCGTAAGTCCTAGATAATGGGTCACCGAGTAAACATGGAAGGGTTTAGCGTCATACACTCATTTGCAAACTAATTTGGCTTTTCGAGAGACTTACCTGAAACCCAGCTGAATCCCTCGTCTGTGACGTTTCCAGGTAACTGAATGTGCTGCACCAGGCCGCCTCATGTTTCTGCCTCTACGATATTTAAGATATTGTGATACGTGTATTTTCGTAAGGGTTTAGTTGCAGGTTGTTGCAGGATTAGTAGAACTTTCATTCGCATGAGGCCACGGCCACCTAAGCGTTCCGTCATCGGTCCGGATATAGCGGATTTTACACTCCGTGGAGTTTTGTGAAATGCGCACTGTTGAGGATGAAGTAGCTGTACGTTGCTTGTCGGCCTTCAGAATGGACCATATTTAATTATACAGGACGAAATGTCCAACAGTAGGATTGGTATTCACATTACTATCTTTCGAATGTTCCCTCTCCTGTGCTGGCGTTTGTCTGTTTAGACATCATCATTCATGCTGGTACAGTAGCGGTAACATGCTTGCCTCACATGTCAGATATGCGAGGTTCAAATTCCGGTGTGACCGAGAATATGCACAGTTGATTAGCTTTCATGGGAGAGGAAAACCAGTCCAGTGCTTTCTGTCTCTAGTGTCGACCCACCAGAACGATCGCACTGAACAAAAGATGAGTGAGATCTTTCAAACTAGCGTGATGTGAATGCATAGACAGTCGGCGTTCTTAAACCGAAATACAGAACACCATAATCTTGGTAATTTCCATTGCTCTCAATGGGAAACTTCATTCTAAACAAAAGATATGTAATAACGATTGATGCTCTAGGAAAGGAAATTGATTTTGTTTTTCAACAAATACACTCATTTGCGTATCAGTTTGATTTTCACGGGAGACTCAACTGAATCTCTAGTTAATGGTATTCTTTTATCTTTCTCTTATCAGGTTACTTGGTGCCACAATAACTTACACGAATTTGCAGCAGAAATAGGGTATTGTTCGTCGCCCTACTAAACTTTCTGACAGACACAAAACCCTCCATATACTTCGTGACCACTCTATGAATGGTGGTGCGTCTCTAAAAAGGGCCAGTTCGCAATCACTCTACTGATAAGAACGTCCAGTCCTTTAAGTGTCAGACAGGCGTCTGACGCTTAGTCTTGTTTGTTATGCAGACGTAGTAACAAAACATGCTCTCTACTCACGCACTTCGCACTGATTTAATGGTCCCCTGCACGTGACAGAATAACTGATCCATCTGAGATCTCTGCGCATGAAACCGATCGATTTGATCATCTGAACCAATTGG